CAGAGACATTTAATGCATTCTTGAGAAGCCAGAGCTAAATAGAAAAATTGACTTACAAATACAAGATTCAAGAGAAGCATGAAAAGGTAAACAGGAAAGAGAAATCATAAGAGACTTATTGAGGTTGAACTGTTTACATTCCTACATGGAAAGATGACATTTGTAACTCATAAGACCTTTCTCATTATTAGGGTAGTAGGAAGGAATATATATAGATGAGTTGAATATGAAGGGATGATATCTAAAAAAGAAAATTAAAAGGTGAGAGAGGAATGTACTGGGAGAAGGAGAAAGGGAGAGGTAGAATGGGGTAAATTATCTCACATAAAACAGACAAGAAAAAGCTTTTACAGTAAAGGGGAAATAGGGGGGAGTGAGAGGAAATGAGTGAATCTTACTCTTATCGGATTTGGCTTAAGGAAGAAATAAAATATACACTCAATGAGGTATGGAAATCTATCTTACCCTACAAGAAAATAGGGAGTAAGGGGATAAGAGAGAGGGGATGATAGAAGAGAGGGCAGAAGGGGGTAATCAGGAGCAAACACTTTTGAGGAGGGACAGGGTCAAAGAATAGACTAGAATAAGTGGGGGGCAGGATAGAATGAAGGTAAATGTAGTTAGTTTTTCACAACATGACTATTATGGAAGTGTTTTGCATGGCTACATGTGTATAACCTATGTCAAGTTGCTTACCTTTTCAGTGAGGGTGAGTGGGGAGGGAGGAAGGGACAGAATTTGGAACCCAAAATTTTAAAAACATGTTAAAAATTGTTTTTACATGCAACTGGGAAATAAGATACAGGCAATGGAGTATAGAAATCTATCCTACGCTACAGGAAAATAGAAGGGGAAGGGGATAAGAGAAGGGGGGAGGGTGATAGAAAGGAGAGCAGATGGGGGGAAGGGGTATTCAGAATGCATGCCATCTTGGGGTGGGAGGAGGGTTGGGGAGAAAATTTGAAACTCAAAATCTTGTGGAAGGGAATGTTGAAAACTAAAAATAAATAAATTTTTTAAAAAAAAGACTATTTAGTGGTTCAAGCTTAACTTTGGTTTTATCTATTTCTTTTAACTTTTTTGGGGGCATAGTGATGAAAGGAGGTGGGGTACTTTACTTGGTAGCCAGTTGGAAGTCACTGAAGGTTTTTCAGGAGTGATGTGGTCAGGTTGGCATAGGAGGATTATTTGAGTATCTGTGATAGAAGGATAAACCTAGAGAAAAGAAAATTTATTTGTTAGCTATTTCTATTAGTAAGTTTTTAAAATCTAAAAAGGTACAGAGTCTGAACTAGATTAATTGCTATTGAAGTGAAAATTAGGGTAAGGCTAAGGGCGTGAACTAGGCTGGCTTGCATTAGGAGAAAAAAGAGGGAATAAAAGCCAGAGACATTTTGGAGGCAAATTTGTTGGTATTTCCAATTCAGCTAAATTGAACAAAACATAGACTCAGAACACAACAACATGAAAACAGCCATAAGCAAAGTCTCAAAGAAAAATGCAAATTGGACACAAGTCCAATAAGAATTCCCAGAAGCATTAAAGAGATAAGAATGGTAGAAGAAATATTGGGAAAAGAAATGAGAGCGATGCATATAAATTATGAAAAGAGAATTAACAGCTCAAAAAGGTATAAAAAATATAAAAAGGAACAAACCTTAAAAAACAGAATTAGCCAAATGGTAAAAGGCATAAAAATCTACTAAGAAAAGAACTACCCAAAAAGGAGAATTGATCAAATGGGAAAACTGGCACAAAAGCTCACTGAAGTAAATAATTCCTTAAAATTAGAATTGGGCAAGTGGAAGATATTGACTCCATGATACATCAAGAAACAATAAAATAAAGTCAAAAGAATAAAACATAGAAGAAAATGTCAAATCTCTAATTGGAAAAACAATTGACTTGGAAAATGGATCAGGGAGAGATAATTCAAGAATTATTGAAGCTACCTGAAAATCATGATTAAAAAAGAGCCTAGATATCAAATTTCAAGAAACTGTCAAGGAAAACTACCCTGATATTCTAGAACCAGAGGATAAAATAGAAATTGAAATAATCCACTGATCACCTCCTGATCAAGATCCCAAAATGAAAACTCCCAAGAATATTTTTGCCAAATCCTAGAGCTCCCCGGTCAGGTGAAAATATTGCAGGCAGCAAGAAAAAACAAATCAAAACAAAACAATTTGGATATTGTGGAGTCACAGTCAGGATCACATGAGATTTAGCAGTTTCCACATTAAAAGAGCATAGGGCTTAGAATATGATATTCTAGATGGCAAAGGAGGTAGAATTACAACCAAGAATAACATAGGAACATAGCAAAACTGATTATAATCCTTCAAGAAGAAATAAAATGAATATTTAATGAAACAGAGAACTTTCAAGCATTCCTAATGAAAAGACCAAAGCTGAAAAGAAAATCTGACGTTTTAACACAGACTCAAGAGAAGCATAAAAAGGTAAACATGAAAGAGAAATCATAAGGTACTCAATAAGGCTAACTGTTTAAATTTGTATATGGGAAGATGATACATGTAACTCCTAAGAACTTTATCATCATTAGGGCATTTTGAAGAAGCCTACATAGACATAAGGCATGGGTATGAGTCAGTTATTTTGGGATGATCCAAAAAAATGAAGGGTTGAGAAAGAAGTATGCATTATGAGAATGGGGAAGGGAGAGGAAAAATGTGGAAAATTATCTCACATAAAAGACTTGTGCAAGGAAGAGCTTTTACAGTGGGAGGGGAAAATGGGAGGGGGATTGTGGGCAATGTTTGAACCCAGCTATCATTGGAATTGGTTCAAAGAAGGAAAAATATATACATACATACATATATATGTATATATGTGTGTGTATACACACACACACACACACACACACACACACACACACACACACACATGCACACATACACTCAGTTGGGTATAGTAATCTTTCTTACCCAATAGGGAAAAGGGGATAAGGGGAAGGAGATAATGATAAAAGACAGAGCAAATTAAGAGAGGCAGTGGTCAGAAGCAAAACAGACATTTGAGGAGGGACAGGGTAAATAAAAAGAGAGAAGGATAAACAGAAGAAAATAGCTTGGAGAGAAATACAGTGAAATCATAATTGTAAATGTGAATGGGATGAACTCACCCATAAAACAGAAGGGGATAGAAGAATGGGTTAGAAACCAGAATCCAACAATATGTTGTTTACAAGAGGCACACTTGAAATAAAAAGTCATATGCAGTTAAAATCAGGAGCTGGAACAGAATCTATTATGTTTTAGCTGAAGTAAAAGAGTCAAGTGTAGTAATTGTGGTCTTAGACAAAGCAAAAGCAAAAATAGACCTAATTGGAAGGGATAACCAAAGAAACTGCATTTTTGTTAAAAGGTACCATGGACAATAAAGTAAAGGCCTCATTTCTCAAAGTTTTAGGGAACTGAGTCAAATTTATAAAAATAAGAGCCATTCTCCAGTTGATTAATGGTGAAAGGATATGAATAGGCAGTTTTCAGGAGAAGAAATCAAAGCTATCTATAGTCATATAAAAGAATGCTCTAAATAACTGTTGAGTAGAGAAAAGCAAATTGAAACAATTGTGATGTAACACCTCACACCTATCAGATTGGGTACCATAAAAGAAAAGGAAAATGACAAATGCTGGAGGGGATGTGAAAAAATAGTTACACCAGTACACTGTTGGTGGAGTTGTGAACTAGTCCAGCCATTCTGAAAAGCAATTTGAGACTATGTTGAAAGGGCTATAAAACCATGTGTACCCTTTGACCCAGCAATACCACTACTAGGTCTGCATAACAAAATAAAAAAGAAAAAGAAAAGAAAAGGACCTATATGTACAAAAATATTTATAACATCTCTTTTCGTGGTGGCAAGAAATTGGAAATTGAGGGGATATCCATTAATTGAGAAGTGGCTGAACAAGTGGTATATGATTGTGCTATAAGGAATAGTATTGTGCTATAAGGAATGATGAGGATGGGTGGCAGTAAAAAAATTTGTTCTGTAAAACTTGGACTCAGTCAAAGGCTGCACCCAAGGACCTAAAAGGTCACATGTGGCCTCCAGGCCGCAGGTTTCCCACCCGGTAGGTAATTTAATCAGTACAATGATTCAAGTCAATTCCAAAGGACTTATAACAAAAAGTTATATTAACCTCTAGAGAAAGAACTGATGAGCTCTAACTACAAACTGTCATATATTTTTTTCACTTTTTCTTGCTTTTTTCAACATTGCTAATATGGAAGTATATTTTGCATAATTTCACATTATAATTGATGTCACATTGCTTGCTTTCTTAATGGGTTGGAGAGAAGCTGGAGGGAAAGAGAGAACTTAGAGCTCAAAATTAAGGAAAAGGCTGTTAAAAATAAAATTAAAAAAATTAAAATTAAAAAATTAAAAATAATTTTAAATTAAAAAATATGTATTTGGCCAGGAAACCCATTCAGCCTTTCAACTCTGGGGAGACAGGGAGGGGAAGGAAGTGCCACTTGTGGAGCCGATATTATATAATAGAACAAGACCAAATAGCAAAACTTAGAAAAGTGATCCACTACTATTAGAAATTGAACAAGCATTTAAGTGCCCACTGCGTGCAAGGCAAAGTGTTGTCTTAGTATTTTTATAAATAAATCCTTTCCCAGCCTGAACTAGGAGCAGTGGAACTGGGAGATGAGAGATGAGAGAAAAATGTGGTGCTAAAACATCTTCACTGCACAGGATAAGTTGAGTTTGCCAAGGCTTTGGGTTTTGAGAGGGAGTTTGTCCTTGGAATTGTCTAGTGGTAGGATGACTGGTTGGAGATGGTAGTAGGATGGGTTTAATCTGGGCATCAAAGATCACTAAGATGTGCAATTATAAACTATATTTAGAATCATAGACTCACATAATTATTGCTTAATCACTTGTACAATATTCTTTACTTATTAATAGGCTATAATAAAAGTTTTCCCTCATTTTATATGCATACATTACATGAGTTTGTTTTTCAGAAATCCTTGGACTACATAATGCACCCATCTCAGTGGCAGAGTTACATGGCAATTTTTGCACTTTGTGCCTTCAAAACCACTTGTCTGGATACCTTTATTGCAGCTGTATATGAGCATGCAGTGTTAATACATCCTGAACACTTAAGGCCTGTTAATCAGAAAGAAGCCTTAAATTTAATGAACAAAAACATGGACATTTTGGAGCAAGCAATTATATCAGCAGCAAAGCAGGTACTTTTTCCTAATTGTGCTCACTGTTACTATATTGTAGTAGAGTGAGATCTGAACTCTAGAACCTTCACTGAAGAAAAATGACCAGAAACAGGAGTAGGAAATTCACTTGTGGTGGATATTGGCTATAGTACAGTACCTCATCTGATAAAGTTTTGTCAGTTTTAGTGTCTGTGTGCATAACATCAGTCAGAAAAGCTAACACAAGAAACCTAATGTAATTTTAGGCTGCATTGAGATGCGTAGTGTCCTCATGTTGGGAGAACATAATTCTGTTGTATTCTGCTCTGGAGTACTATATTAAATTCTGGGCACCACATTTTCAGAAGGACTTTGATAAGCCAGACAGCATGCAGAATAAGGAAAGTAGCATAATGAAGGGGCTAGAGTTCATGCCAAATGCAGATTAGCTGAAGGAATTGAGAATGTTTAGCCTGAGAGAATAGATAGAACTTAGGGGTACTTGATAGTTTTCTTCAAGTATTTGAAGGAATGCCATTTGGAAGAAAGATTAGACTTTGTTTTGCTTGGTGCAGTAGGATAGAAATAAGAACAAATAGAATTTGCAAAGAGGCAAATTTATGCTGTATGTCATGCAAAATTTCCTGACTATTAGAACTACCCAGAGTGACATAGGCTACCATAGGAAGTGAGATCCCTTTAACTTGAGGTTTTTAAGCAGAGGCCGGATGAATATATGTCTGGTATTCTCATTCACAGATGAGTTGTACCACATGGATTATCTGGTTACTTCCAACTCTGAAATTCTGTGCTTTTGTGAGTGCAAGGGGAAACTAATATTTTAATTTACAAATGTTTGTAGTCAAATTTTATGATTAAAACTCTGATTTGATTAACATTATATAAGTTTCAAGGATATGTAAAGAAAACTTATAGTTGTCAATGCCCCCCTCCAAATAACAGTAAGATTAATTTTTTTAATAGTTGAATTAAAAAAAGGGCATAGAGATTCAGTCATTACTAGGAGCCATGGATAATAGAACCTAGAGGTCAAAAAGACCTCAGAGATCATCTAGTTCATTCCCCTAATTTTACAAATAAGGAAGTCAAAGCCACAGAGGCAAAAGGTGAAAGGGCCAAGGTCAAACAAGTGGCAAGTTAGCAGAGCTAGATTTTGAAGCTCAGGTCTTATATCATTTAAATCTAGTAATTAAAAACAAAAATAAAAACCAAAGCTATAGTACATCACTGCTATGCTTTCCTACTGGAATTGAGTTTCCTCATAAAACTCAGGGATTAGATAACATGATCTCTTCTGACTTTTAAAAATCTACAAGTCATAGCATCTGAGTTAAAAGTAAAAGAGACAACAAGAAAATTAGTTGTGATAGGCATTCTATTTGGGCTAAGTTTTAGAGGTAGATAAACTATGAGACAGCTGAAAGAAATCTGATAAAGGTAATGGTGTGGCATAAGGGTGGGTGTTATTTAGTCAGCATTATTACTGTCATAAAGCTTATCTAGGATTATATTAATTTATTTTCAACAGGGTGCACATATCATTGTGACTCCAGAATATGGTATTTCTGGATTCATCTCTAATAGACTAAAGATTTATCCCTTTCTGGAGGATATTCCACACCCAAAGGTGAACTGGACCCCTTGTACAGACCACAGCAGGTATTAAAATATGTTGTCTCTCCTTAGTGCTTCTTTTCTTAATACTCTCCTTACTTGACTGCTCTGCATCATTCTGCACTGTTGACAAACTTCTCTTCCTGGATACTGCCTCTTCTCTACACTGTTTTCTTTAAGCTCTTCTACCTATCTCAGTGCTCCTTCTTAGTCTCCTTTGCTAGATATCTTCAACCATATCATACTTTATAGCTATAGATGTACCCTAAGCTCTTACCTGGGTCCTCTTCTCTATAGTCTCTCATTTGGTGTCCTCTGCAATACTTACAGAGTTAATTATCATCTCTATGCAAATAACTTCCTGATCTACATGTCTATCCTTAGTCTCTGTCAACAGGCAATCACAACTTCATGAAACTTACATGAAAATCAAGTTTATTAGAAGAGAATGAACATGCATGTGGAACACAAAAGTTTGCATTTTTATGGCATAAGGACAAAGGAAAGGGGAGATATCATATATCTCCACCTGAAGGGGCATGTCGTGGGAGGGGCAAAGGTACAGTAAAGCCGGAAAAAGGACAAAACCCCTCCAGAAGGAGAGGATTAAGATGATGGCGAAAGCCACATTCTTTTTTCTGGGGAATTGCTAGAGTATGAAGATAGGATGATGTGCTCATTTCCCTGGTCTCGGCTGCACAAACAGCTTTTTAGCCCAACCCAGACTGACTGGTGCCTGTCTTGACTCCCAAGGACACACAGGGAGTCCAGTTTGGGATGCAAACAACAAATTATGTCAGCTTGGTGGGCTTTGTCTATGACGCATTCAGGGCCTCCTACATGCTCTGGGTCCAGTGTTTCTGGAAAATATGGCAATTAAAAAAAAAAAAAACAAGTTCAGGGGACCCCTTAACAGTCCTTAACATCTCTACCTGAGCTCTAGTTACTTATCTCCAAATGCTTGTTTGCCATTTCAAATTGGATGTCCTAGAGACATCCCAACTTAATACGTCCAAAATAGAACTTGTTATTTTTCCTCTAAAACCATCCATCTTCTGCATTTCCTTATTTCTGTGGAGGGTGCCACCCTCCTTCCTGTGTCCCAGGTTCCACAAACTCAGCAATTAACTTGGCTCTTCACTTTCTCTCATCTCACATATCCAGTCAGTTGCTAAATCTTATTGTTTCTACTTCTGACATTTTCTTGATGAAGACATGCTGGATCTTTGTAATAACTACTTCCTTTTTAAGAAACTCACCAACCATTCCTTTAATGATCCATTCTAGAATTTCCCTAGGAATTAAAGTTAAGCTCTCTGGCCTATAGTTTATGGACACTGTTCTCTTCCCTTTTTGAAAAATTGGGATATTTTCCCTTCCCAAGTCTTTTCCATTTTCTATAGTCTTTCACATATCACCAACAGTGGCTCAGTAATATAATATTATTATTAATAATAGATAGCATTTATATGGTACCTATTATATGCCAGGCACTGTGCTAAGTATTTTACAAATATTATTTAATTTGACCCTCACAACAGCACTAGAAGGTAGATGCTATTATTATATCCATTTTACAGATGGGGAAACAGGGGCAAATAATGACATGCTCAGGGTCATGTAGCTAGTATGTATTTGGGGCTATATTTGAACTCAGCCTCCCCATTCCATCCAGCTGGGCCATTCACCATGGGTTCCCTTTTCTCCCCTCTTTCTCATCTCCTATCACTCATATGCCTTTTGCCACTGTCTCATCCTTCACCCCTGTCTCACACAAAGAGGTGGCCTTACTCCTTACTAAGGTAAACCACTTTATCTACTCAAATGATCCCATTCTATCCCATCTATCCTATCTCCAGCAGATTGTACCCTCCATTATCCACACTCTCTCAATTATATGAAGCTTCTCTCTATCTACTAGCTCCTTCCATACTGCCTACAAACGTCCTCATGTTCTCCCCACTCTCAAAAAAACCCCTCAGTTGATCCATCTATCCCCACTAACTATAATCCTCTATCTCTTTTACCCTTTGTGGCTAAAACTCTTTGAGAAGGTTGTCTACTTTTTTCTTACAATCCAGCTTCAGACCTCATCATTTCACTGAAACTGCTGTCTCCAAAGTTACAAATTATCTCCTAGTTACCAAAGCCAAGGGCCTTTTCTTAACCCTCAGTCTTCTTGACCTCTCTGTAGCCTTTGACATTTTTGATCACTCTCCTCTCTCTAGATTTTAGGATATTACTCTCTCTTGGTTCTTCTGCCTTCTGTATCCTCATCTAGATTATGCCCTCTAACCATTGGTGTCCCATACCCAACCTGAAAATTCAAGCAAAAGTTGAGGGATGCTACTATTTTTCTTCTCCTCCTTCTTCTTCAAATAAAAAAAAATCTACCAATTTTCTATGTCTGTTTTTAAAAGCAGTTTTCTAAATATAGCTATCCCCTTGTTCATTATGGGTAGATTGCTGTGGCTTATATTTATTTCATATATAGCACTAGACTTGGGGTTGGGAGACCTGGAATGGAATTCTAGCAATGTCACTTACTAGATCTAGGATCATATGATAATTTAGATTTGGGAGATTTAGAAATGGAAGAGATCACACCTCTGAGTCTCAGTTCTTTATTTATAAAATGGAGACAATATTCGCATTACCTGCCTGCCAGTTATAAGGAAAGTACTTTGAAAACTTGTAAGTTGTAAGTGTTTTATAAATGTGAGAATAAAAAAAACCTATTGTTCACTCTGCAAATATGATTTGGTATAAAAGATGATTTGAGAAGTTATTTGCCAGCAGGTGGCACCAAATTAATGCATTTTTATTTGTTTTATGTCTATCGTGCTCTTCTTCACCCACTGTAATATCCCATTCCAATTGTATTCAAAGTAAACAGAAGGGGTTAACTTAGTTTTTGTCAGTTTGTTCTATTAACAACCTGTAAAGTCCGTTGACTGATTTTTAAATATTTTATTAGGCCAGTTATTTAACCTCTCAAGAAATCAATTTACATATCTATAATGCTTACATTTCTAAAGGCTTTAAAATTTTCAAAACACTTTTTCCTCCCACAACAACTCCTGTGAATTAGGTTGGTTTTTTTTTTTTCACTGATATGGGGAGTTCACTTTAAGGAAATTCTGTCTATGAATGCAGAATGACAACTATCTTGAAATTGTATGCTTAGTGAGTTGCCCAGGGACAATGAGGGTTTAAGTTACTTTGTCTCATCACATAACCAATGAATGTTAGACATAATCGAATCCAGGAGTTGAATCCAGGTCATCTTGACACATGTAGTCATTATGGCACGCTATCTCTGATGTAAAATAGGTATTATGAGTGTTATTATCCCCATTTTACAGATGAGGTTAAAGGTGTCAAACTCCAGAGTTCAGATTAAGAAAGACAAACATAATTAGGTTGTGTTTATTTCTCCCAAGCAGGCAGACTTGCATGTGGAGTTGCGGTTGGAACCGAGCTCGTTTTGAAGTTCCACTGCACAGATTATAAAGCCACGAATCAAGGAAGCACCCCCCTGATTCAGGACGTCTGGCCTTTTGTCAGCCAAGATTACATTTTTCAATAAAGCAAGGAAGTGCTCCAGAGTCAGGGGCAAGTTTAATCTGCTGTTGTGGTTGTTGATACAGCAGAAGGATTTTGGTTCACTCAGAAAGTATCACAAAAGATTATTGACATGCCAGTCTAGAAGGGCTCAAATCATCCTCTCATTTGGCTAGTCCAGGTTTTCAGTCTTCTTCGAATGATGAGGGTCTCAAGTGGGGCTCACAAAAACCATGTTTGACAACATAACTGAATTGGCAGAGCTGTGACTCAAACTCACATCTTCTGATTCTAAAGCCGATGCTCCTGTTGAGTTATGTTGTCTCTTTTTTTATGAGTCGAGTCCAGAGAACTTTGACAACTCTAAGAGCTTATTAAATTACTCAAGGAACCTGATTTATTGTGGAAAATTCAGTCTGTTTGAGAAGACCAAGAATCCCTTTTCTCACATTCCTCTCTATCCTTCAATTTCATTTTATTATGTTAGTTGATTATCCCTTTACTATGGCATATAACCCCACATGGTATTAATATCACACATTTATATAATGCTTTATGCTTTGCAAAGTGCTTTCATAATAATAGCTCCTTGCCTCTTGGGTTGAGAAAACAGAAACCAAAGGAGATTAAATGACTTAGCCAAGGTTGTACCTTGTAAGTGGCAGAGTCAGAACTAGAATATGGGGCTTCAAATTCAGTGGGCTTTCCTTTGGGACTTACCTTTTCCCTTTCAATTTTCTTTGTTTTTTTTTGGGGGGTGGGGCTGTCTGGGCCTGTAATTTTAATAGTTTGGGGAAATAGTGTTTATGCAGACTTCCTCTACCAATGTGCTTTGTCAATTCATCCACAATTTGTAGTTATGAAGAGTTGCGTGGAGCATTGAGAGGCCCGTGGTCACATAGCTGCTTTATGTCAGAGGCAGGACTTAAACCCTTGTGTACTTGGCTCCAGGGTCAGCTCTTATTCACTATACCAAATATTGCTTCCTGGGACCTGCTTTATCTCTTTCTCTAAGGGCTTTGCCAGTCTTTGGACAGCTCATTGCCCAAGAATTTTCTCTTAGTGTATATACCCTTTCACAGTCATGTACATTGCCAGCCTTCTTTTGAAGAGTATTGCTCCTTGAACTTTTATCTTCTTTCTTTTTTGTCCCTCTGCCTCTCTTTTGAATTGTCTTTTTGTGGATAAGACAACTTATTGTAGTATCATTTTTTCTGTTCACAAATGTGTTTTTAAAATTCTGAACTTAAGTAAAACATTTCCATAACAAAGTAGAATAGGGAAAAAAAGACAATTGCATAGGAAAACAAAAATCTATTATGTACAACTTGTTTTTTCCTTTTAATATATAATAAAGTTGTTATATAACTTGCTTTTTTCCCCTTCCCCCCCACCTGCCCTAGAGATGGCTACCATTAGATATAAATATGTGTGCATGTGTGTGTGTGTGTGTGTGTGTGTGTGTGTGTAAAACCATACTATACATCTGTATTAGTTCTTTCTCTGGATGCAGATAGCGTCTTCCTTCAAAGGTTCTTTGAGTGAATTTGGGTATTTATAATAGTCAAAATTACCTGATTCAAAGTTGAAATATCACTTTTAATTCTTCAGCTGTTAAATTTAGTGGATACTATTTTTTTTTCTCCCATATACTAGATTTGGCAACACACCAGTGCAAGAAAGACTCAGCTGCATGGCCAGGAATAACTCTATCTATCTGGTAGCAAACATGATGGATAGAAAGACATGTGATCCCACAGTGTCCAAGTGTCCCTCTAATGGCTATTACCAATACAACACTAATGTGGTATATGATTCAGAAGGGAAATTGGTGGCTCGTTATTATAAGGTATGAATTAGTTTTTAAGTAGTTCAGCAACTAAATGTCAAATAGTAATTACAATAATAAAATAGGTGGCAAAAGAGAAATATTGATGATTAGGATTATCAATAAGAGTAATGGTTATGTCAATAGTAATAGAACTTTAGAAGTGATTTTATCAAAGTCACTTACCCACATTGCTTAACTTCATGTTTACAAGTAGTAGTACAACAACTAGAAACAATGTCCTGGTCAGGAAGGGCCCTACAAAGCTTCAGCTGTCATCAATATCTCTTATTGAAAAATGTCACCATTACAATGAATTGGAATGAATGAGAAACAGAAGTTACTACTGTATATTGAAGTGTTATTGTATTTTACTGGTCCCAAACAATGAGAGTTGTAGTACAATGTAGTGAATAGTGTATTGAACTGAGAGTTGGCAAGACCTGGGTTCAAATCCTGCCTCTAACACCCATTACCTGTGTAAGCCTGAGCATGTCACTTAACCTCTACATGTCTCAGACAAATGCCTAGGATTGATCTAGTAAGCTATTTAAAGGTGCTAATCTTTGTTTTAGTAGAGGCAGGTCCCATAGTGGGAATTCTTTATGCTAAGGGAATCACAGATTTTTTTTGCATGTTTATGTATTCATGCAGTAGAATGGGAAGAGTTTAGTTTATTCTACCAGATTAGAAGGATCAGTCAAGGTATACTTGTCCAGAAAATTATAATTAAGTATTTTTGATAATCATTAAAATCAGCTTTGGATAAGGCAATGTAAATCATATCCTAATGTTTTTTCCCATTGGATGCAAAAGAATTGTTTTTTATTTCTTTCACTGTAAGAAGAATTATATGGTTCTATAATGTATTATCTCTATCTTCCTCAGATGTTTTCATTCTGCCTGAGGCAAAATCAGTATATAAGCTTGCACTAGGCCCACATGTATTTAAGCACGTTAAATCATTTGTATTAACTTTCTTATAAAATGTTTTTTTATGTGTGTGTGTTTATTACAGAAATATATGTTAACGAAGGAAGCCCAGTTTGATACCCCATTCGAGACTGAATTGGTGACTTTTGATACAACATTTGGAAAGTTTGGCATTTTAACAGGCTTTGATATACTTTTTCATGACCCTGCGGTAACTCTGGTGGAAAAATTGAAAGTGGACACAATCGTGTTACCAGTAGCTTGGATGAACAATTTACCATATTTATATCCTACTGCGTTCCATGCAGCTTGGGCTATGGGAATGAGAGTTAATTTACTCGTAGCCAATATCCATAACACTGTCAGTCAAATGACAGGTAATTGACAATTTCTAAAAGAAGATTTATGGATTTCCTGTAATAAAACTCTCAGATATCATTTTTTTCTAAGTGTCATGCAGACCCTAGTAAAGTATTCATTTGCCAACCTAAAACTTTTGAATCAGCACACTTAGGATAGGCTATACTTAATCTTGATTTTAATTTTTTGATAGTTTTCTTCTTTGGTTTTCTAAACTTGGTCATTTAATCATGTGTCATTTAATGTTGATATAAAAGGTTCAAGTACATTTTTCCAACATCTTTCTCCTTCTCTACTTCCCTTTCTCCTGACCCCTAATCCTGAAATCATTGACAATGCTGATATTTGTTCAATATTTTAAATACTATGTGAGTGACAGTAATTTTAAAAGCTGTATAATTTTTTTGTACTTTTCTTATTGAAAAAAATTCTTTCTTATTTGCTGTTTTCAGGGAGTGGTATCTATGCACCAGATTCTCCCAAGGTGTATTACATTGATATGAATTCAGAGAATGGGACGCTGCTCCTTTCGCAATTGGACTCACATCCCAAACTCTCACCACCAGTGAATTGGAGCTCTTATGCTAACAGCATAGAACCTTTCTCAACAGAGCAAGAGGAATTTAAAGCCTCAATACTTTTTGATAAATTCACCTTCAAAGAACTCATTAATGATACAGGAAACTACACTGTTTGTCAGAACACACTGTGTTGTTACTTGAGCTACAAAATGTCTGAGAAGAGAACAGATGAAGTTTATGTTCTGGGGGCTTTTGATGGACTTCACATCGCTGAAGGGGAATATTATGTACAGGTAATCATTTTTGTGAGAATTAAGTTAGGTGGAAAGATTGTTAGAACGATGACATTTATAAGAAAATATCTATTAAATTACCTATCAAATGTTAGTCTTTAAAGTTTGCACATATTAAAAAAAGCAAAAAACCCTCTAGTATTTACATAGGGTCTTAAGTTTTGCAAAGCAATTTATATGTTATCTCATTTGCTCCTCACAACAACCCTGTGAGGTAAGTGCTATTATTAGCATCCTCATTTTACAGATGAGGAAACTGAATCTGAAAAAGGGTCAGTGACTTACCTAAGGTGACATACCTAAGAGTCTGAAGCAGGATTTGAACTTGGGTCTTCCAGAGGCCAAGTCCAGCACTGTTCACACTGAACCCTGATAAAGAGCATTGTGGTGTTCTAGAAAAGTCAGATCTGGATTTTAATCCATGCTTCTTTATTAAATGGCAGTGTGACACTGTGCAAGTAACTTACCCAATCTGGGTCTCTGTCTCCTCATCCCAACTGCAGCTGGAAAATTTTATGAAATAAACAACAAATGTTTACATTAAATAGATTGTTTCAGTCATTATTTTAAGACATTATCACTGCTTTCTGAAGTTGAGTTGAATTGAATTAATAATGATAGTCATAAGCATAGGCGTGGATAATTTCAGGTTTTGACAGGGAGGGCCTAGGGTGTTGTTCTGTTTCTTAGAAAACATGTTTGAGTATTATTTCAGATGCTACCTGGATGGAACCATGTACTGTACAATTTTTCATAAAAGCTTTGTCAGGTGAATTAGAGCTCCAGATGTATTCTGGGACAAAAGAATGGCTTAATCAAATAGGGAAGCTTGATTACTTTGCTTCACAAAAGAACAAAAGCAGTTTTATGCTCTTGAACATTGTATCTACTGATTATTTGATCTGCATCTATTTCACCCAGATTTGTACACTGTTGAAATGCTTGACAGCTATGTTAGAAACTTGTGGGCGGCCCGTTGAAAATGCATCTACTGTGTTTGACATGTTCTCTCTCAGCGGCACATTTGATTCTCAGCACGTTTTTCCAGAGATGTTGCTGAGTGGCCTTCAGATTGCGCCTGGAGACTTTGAGGTAGGAGCCTTTTCTGTCTATTTCCAGATAACTTCTTTGTGAGATGAAGGAATGGTTTGTGCAGGAAAATCTAAGTGAAGGAACACTATCTTGCCCAGAAATGTTATAAGCTATAGCTACTAAGGGGTAAAGTGGCATTTGAGGAGCACCAAGAGTACTGGGATATAGATAGAAAATAGGTCTAAGTGAAAATGGTAAGCCATAAAGTAGTGTCTATTTACATGTGGGAACAAAGTAATAAATCATTCATTGTTCTGTGATTATTTGACAGGTAGTGAAATTAGTCTTCCATTTCTTTGTTTTAATTAAATTTTATTGATATCTTTTATTTTTTGTATCACCAGAATTTTTCTCAGTATCTCTCCCCTCTCCTTCCCAGCAAACCATCCCGTGTAACAAATAATAGTTTATAAAGAACAAAAAAAGAAAAAGAAAAGAAAAAATCAACACAACTAATCAGTATGTCAAAAAAATTTGAAAATATATGTAGTTCTCCACATTTGTAAAACTCCTACTTCTACAAAGGAGCAGGATATGCTTTATATTTCTCTTCATGCTTGTTCTTTTTAAATTTGCAACAACCACTTGATTTTTTGTGATGGTTCTTTTCATTGATATTGTTGTAGATATTGTATATATTGTTTTCTTGGCTGTGCTTACCTCACTCCCTATCAGATCACATAAGTCTTTCTTTGCTTCTCTGTTGTTTCTTATCTCTTGCCTGACAGTAATATTCTGTTACATTCATATACCATAATCTGTTTAGCTTTATCATAATTGATGGATATCTGCTTTCTTTCTAGGTCTTTGCTATCATAGAGAGTTCTACTATGAATATTTTGGTGTATATGGGGACTTTCTTTTTATCAATGACCTCCTTGAGGTACATACCTTTTAGTGGAATCTCTGGGTCAAAAAGTATTGACATTTCAGTCACTTATTTCCATAATTCCAAGTTGCTTTCTAAACTGATTATAATGATTCACAGCTCCACCAACAGTATCCTGATGTGCTATCTTGTGCCACAACTTCTCCAATAGTACTGCCCTCCAATAGTACTGGGCAAGAAGGGCTTCTGCTCCAGGCCCAGAGCCTCAAGGGCCCCTGTGCTTTGGATGACTCCACTAATCCTAGGCACAAAAAATTATTAAAGAGGTGAAAGAGTAAGAGAAAACCCTTGCTGTTGCTTTTGAAACCCTCAGGCCTGACTAGACTAAACTTAGGCTCTTGTGAGTGTTGCCTTATGTCAGAAGGTAGATGTATTATTATCTCCATTATACAAGTGAGGAAACGCTATGCCCAGAGTCATACAGCAAGGACTTGAGGCAGAATTTCAATTTAGACCTTCCTCACTCTAAGATCAGTGTTCTCTCCACTGACCCACCTAGACTTGATACCTCAATCACAATCCAACGTTGGAAAAAGGAAATTTAGATTTGGAAACATACTTTAAAATTTTATTTTGCTTCAGAGGAGAGATTAGAATAATGGCTATAAAGTGGGTATAATAGGTATAATGTTCTAGAAGACAGATCTTGGCTCAGTGTAAGTTGCTGTTGACAGGCAGCTTGGCATAGGCCAGCCACCGCCTGATACATGCTGGCTGTGTGACCATGAGCAAGTCACTTAAACTCTCAGTGTCCTTTGCCAGTCATAGTGTCCGGGAAAATCGTTTAAACCTGTTTGCCTCAGTTTCTTCATCTGTAAAATGAGCTAGAGAAGGAAATGGCAAGCCACTCTAGTATCTTTGCCAAGAAGTCCCCAAAACAGGGTCATGAAGAGTCAGACACGACTGAAAAACAACTGAGTGACAGTTTAATGTTCTGAGCAGTTAACTACTTTTGATGTTCTGTATTGCTTCTTAGAATTTATAATATGCCCCATGTTGGCAGTTTCAAAATCCTGAGTGCTTATGGGCAGCTAGGTGGCACAGTGGATAGAGCACTGGCCCAGAAGTCAGGAGAACCCAAGTTTAAATCTGGCCTCAGACTAAACACTTGTCACTAGCTGTGTGACCCTGGGAAGGTTACTTAACCCCCAATCGCCTTAAAAAAAAATCCTAAGTGCTTTACCTAAATTCTTAATGACTAACGAAATAAGCCACTTTATTCACTAATGTTATGATTGTATATGTAATAAATTTAAATTGTAAAAGTTTTTCATTTAAGGGAAGGAACAGATAGGCAGTTGCCACCAAAGTGTGCATGCATTCTAATTCATATTACATGAGATGTCTTTTATTACACTGTATTAGAAGCTGAATGTTTTAATTTTGTACCTTTTGTGTTTGTGTGTATTAAACAACAGTGCAAACAAATAGGGTGTGGTACAAATTTAGTATGAAATATTGTTATAAAATTATATCAGCAATTAAATTTAAGTTCCACTTGGTTTAATTTTCTTAAATTGCAATTTTGATGTATTTTACATATTTAATATAAAGTGATTATTTTAATTTGAGAAAGATAGAGCTATATTCTATCTGAGGTTTCATAAAACAGAGCACTATGAAATGTAAAGACAATATCAACATTCCACTATTTGGTTTATTTGTAATGCCAACATAACAATATTTTTAAAATAATATTTTAAATTTTAATGTAAAATGCAACAAAATTATATTTAAAATTATGTATTTCATGAAAACAAATATAATCAGGGCTTTCTATGAATGGCCTTTTCATATAAAATGTGCTGAAATAGAGTTGTAATCTGTAATGAAGTTTTTGCTCACTTTTGTTCTTTACACATGTTGTTACAAAAATGGCAACGCTTTCAGTTTTTCATGAAATGTGTATTGTTGAGGAGTGATAATGAGTTGTTCTGTGTATTCTACCTTATGGGTATCAGCTATTGAATAGTGTTGAAAATACTTTCTAGAAATGAAACTATGGATATTTGTGATGTGGTGAGAGACTGTAGGTAGCCTAAGAGTGAGATGAGCAATCTAGGCATAAACAGTTTTTCTGGAATATCTGATGTATATTGTTTCATATAGCTATGAGGATGAGTGGGGGATTCATTCTTTGAAAGTCAGGGATCAGCATCTTCAGGTAATTATAGCACAAGTGGTCGTGTGGACTACAATAGTAACCACATTTTAACAATTCTGTACAGTTCAGCATTTTTAATCACAATACTTCTTATAAAAAGGTGAAGATTGTAAGTTAATTATTCCAAATTTTCATCAACAAATCATTACATGGGACCCATGCATTTTGTAATACATTTTTTAAATCAGATTGTTTATATAGGTTGCTTTGCTTCCTCCAAAAAAATATTTGCTTGTTGCCTTCTATACCCTAGAGGAGGTCCTTTCCTTTGTCATTTGCTATTTTCATCTTATCATTGCCAGTTTGCTGAGTGTGATTTGAAACCCTATGATTGCTTTGATTTGCTTTTTCTTATTAATAATAATTTTAGTGATTTGGGACATTCTTTCATATGGCTGTTAACAATTTGAAATTCTTCTTTTGAGAATTGTTTGTTTATATCATTTGACCACTCATCATATCTAGCTATCTATCTGTCTACCCAATCTGTTAGTTGTCTTTGTGTCTTGGATACCAAATCATCATTTGAGAAATCTGATACAAAGATTTTTTTCTATGTGACCATTTCCCTTCATATCCTAGATGAATTATTGCTGAAGCTTTTCAGTTTCAAAATTATCTATTTTATCTTTAATAATTTCCTCTGTCTCTTGGAGATTTAAGAATACATCTCCTACACATAGCTGTGTAAGGTGCATGATCTGTTTCTGTTTTAATTTTTTATAGGATAGTCTTTGAATTAATGTCACATATCCATTTTGAATTTATTGTGGAATATAGTTTAAGATGTTGGTCTATGCTTAATTTCTTCTGTACTGTTCCAGTTTTCTTAGCAGTTTGTATTGGTTACATGTATTAGTTGCAGTGATTTCATTATAAGATGTTTGGTATTGTTTTTATTTTATGTTTTCTTCCATATTAACAGTTAATAATACATATTAACAGTTAACGTATAACATATCTTATGTGTTATAACATAATATATTAACGGTTAGCAATTTTAATATTCTTGTCTGTGACTCATAAACCAATTTAACCTATTTGTTAATAGTTTCTTGGTTCATGAGTTTGGAGAGATTTTGTTTATAATATCATATTGAGGTATTGTCTCTTTTTAGTATTAATGGAAACAACTAATTTTTTGTTTGTTTTTGGTTAGGTTTTAAATGATGGACGCATAGTAAATGAGAATGGTACGTCTGGACCTGTCTTAATGGTGACTCTATTTGGGAGGCAATATGAGAAGAACAAACCAACAAATACTTCAGTTGATCTGGGATCTGCCTTATTGATGAGGATACTAACTATAGTTTTTGTTCTGTACTCAGCATTTTGGTAGGAACTGCACAATATTATATTGCCTACCGTTCATTTTTTTTCTGACGGTAAGAACATATATGTCTGGACAGCTTTCCTACCCTCAATAATTCTTAGGGGAATGCCTCAGTTAGTATAATCCCCACCTTTCTCTGTAGTATTGAAAAGTTATTGAACTACAGTGGCACATTTAAGCCCACCAAATGATACTGGTAATTGGAAAGTACTATGAGAGAATCTACCACATGCTTATAAAAGCAGGACCATTGATGCTACTTGCTAAACTACATCACTGCTATTACCAAGTGTATCTTGCCATTGGCATTGGGAAGAACGCTGGTTCTGAGTTCAATTTCTACTCTTGACATTTATTGTCTGTGGGATCTTATGTAAGTCAAATCTCCCTGGCCTCAGCTGCCACATCTGTCAAATGAAAAGGATGTATTCTTTTATGTGTGTGTATCTATCTATCTATCTATCTATCCATCTATCTATCTATCTATATCTATATCTATATATCTATATCTATATCTATCTATATATATATATAATATGTATACATATATGTGTATATATATGTGTGTGTACATATACATATATATCTATATCTATCTATCTATCTATATATATATCTATATGTACATACACAGACACATAAATATAAAAAACACATTTTAAACAGGATGCCCTGGGACAAACATTCTCTCATGCCATTCTCCTAACATCCCTGTGAGATGAGCAATATGAGTATTGTTATACTTCGAATGTGGCAATTGATGCTCAGGGACATGAGTCATAGAATCTTGAAGTGAAAAATGATCATCTGCTCTAATCATTACCTTAAACATGGATCCCACTTTTATGCCATCCCTTACAAGTGGTCCACAAACCTCTGCTTCATGACTTGACCATTTTCACACAGTCATTATGTGATGGAGTCAGGAATTGAAAATTGCCTCTTCAAAGTACATTTTTAGATTGATTTTGTTTCATGTTTATGTTATTTCATATTTGTACTGTTTAGTCTTAGCGTGTGTTAGGACATTGACAGTGAGATGAGTATCCAGTCTCTTGCTATTTAGGCGATCCAGGGTTTTACTTTCTTGGCAGGTACTTGGGCTCATGTCTATTGAGTTCTGAGGTAAATTTCACTATTTTAACTGTGTTATGTTTTTTTTATTACCTCTTTGATTTGTCACATATTTCTATGTACAAATAGCAAATGCTAGTGCTTCTTTGAATAGGTAGATCTCAAAAGAATTTTGTAACAGAGTCCCTTACTACAGATCCTTGAATAAATTCACTTCAGATCTGTGTATGAATTCTGCCAGTGCCTAAATGGCTTCCCCATCACTCACATGAGTCCTTCATTGCTATACAATATTAACAATTCCTTTTGCTTTTTTTTATAATCATAAAGTTCAGACTGGTTTTTAAATAAGTATACTAGAATCCTGTGAAACATGGAAAACAAATACAGTTCTCAAATTGTTCATCAAAGGAAACTTAATAAATGTTATAAATGGAGAAACATTGAAATCCTTGTTTCTTTTATAATTAATTGATTTGTTCAGTATTTATTAGATTCTTAAAATTCACTTGGACTAATATTTAAAAATTCTGTACAAAAATTAAGAGGGCTTTGTAATTTTATTTTTCCTGTAGATGAGCTTTTTTTACTGTCTGAGTTTCTCTTTGACAAACTTTATATTTCTTTGAAAGTGCCATCTTCTTATTGGAGTCTGTACTAAAGTGACTTTGTATAAATGATATGTATTAATTAAACCTTTATCTAGTTCTGATCCCTACCTTGTCCAAAGTTCATTAGGAATTAATAACAACAACAATAATAATTTTTGTCTTGACTTGTGTTTTCATCAGTGTAGGGAACTCCTGGTGAGAAAACTCTTTTTACCAAAGTAGATTAAAAAGTTTTCTACCACCTATGATCTTATAGAGTTGGCTGGGACACTGCAAGGGTAAGTGACTTGCCCTGGGACCAATTGTATTTCAGAGGCAAGACTCATAATCATCATCATCATCATTATCTAGCAATAACAATATTGATCTTATTTATATCATTTTTGATGGAATTAAGATAAAAATGGACTCAGACCAATTTTCTATTCTATCTTCTATATTTAATGATCTATGGATGGTTGCACAAATGAATAAAGTAACTTTTTGCTAATTGATTAAAAGTATCAGGATATAAGTTCATATTCTTGGGAGGTAGGCTCACTGAAATAATTTTTGGAATTATTATTAGCAAAAGTAGTAGATAGCTACATGACTCATTATGGTTTAAAAAGTACTATTCATGCTTGATCTCATTTGATCCTCAAAATAGCCCTATGAGGTAGGCACTAGAGATACTATTTTCTTTGTTTTCCAGACAAGTTAACAGATTCAGAGGGTTAAGTAACTTCCCATGGTTGTACAACTAGTGAACATTGGAAATGGGATTTGAACTTAGATCTTCCTGACTTTAAGTTCACTTATCATTTCACTGTATGTATTTATTTGAATTTTATTCTATAGTTATAGATGTGTTGCTTTGCAATTGGTCATTTATTCTTTGTTTTCTCTGCTGTCCCGATTAGAATATAAGCTCCCCAAGGGCAAGATTTGTGTCTTATGTTACTTTTATATCCTTATACGGTCTATTCATATAACTGAAGAAGACCAATATAAATATCCAGGGCTGCACCTTCATGGAATCAGAGTCCCAGAGTTGGAAGGCACTTCAAAGTCCAGATGGTCCAACTCATATCTCAATAAGAATAGCATCCCCCCCCAAAGTGGTCATTCAGCTCTTGCTCAAGGACCTCAAATGAGGAGCTGCCCAAGGCACTTGTGGATAACTCCAAAGTTTATCCTTACATTGGCCTCAAACCCATTGATGAGTAGGGGGAATGTTTATTCCAAGCATGTGAAGACTTTTCCCAGCAGAATAGGCAGATGAGAACAATTTGTTTCAACAGCCATGAAGATGGTCAAAGTAGGTTCTGTGGAGTTCTTAGAGCTTGGTCAGACTTTGAAGACGCCAAGGTAATTTATTGCCTCCCAGGCCATCAGCAATCATCATGACATTTTGTCTTGCCACTGGACTTTGATGACTCTAGAAGAGAGAGTAAAGCTGATGACTTTGTGCAACTCTGTCTCACCTAAATCCAATTTATATGCAAGCCAATCGTGATATCATTGGTCCCCTTTGAAAATGAAGGACAAACAACACCAGCATCCTTAAAATGGGCAGATAGCTTCTTCTCTACAACCTAGAGCAATTACTTCTGTCTTTTGAAACCAAGCAGACCAAGCTTAATCCCTCTTCCATATGACAGCTCTTCAAATATTCAAAGACAGCTATCATATGTTCCTTCTAAGTTTTCTCTCTTCCAGACTAAACATCTTTAGTTCCTTTGGCCAGCACTCATATGGTATGAACACATGGTTACTATCCTGCTTGCCCTCTTTTGGACATTTACAGTTTATAGAGGCAGCTAGGTGGCACAGCAAATAGAGCACTGGGCCTGGAGTCAGGAAGACCTGATATTTACTAGCTATGTTATTCTGGGCCAGTCACTTTACCTCTGATTACCTCAGTTTCCTCAACTGCAAAGTGCTGATAATACCTACCTCCCAGAGTTGTTGTGAAAATCGAATGAGATAATGTTGTAAAGCAGTTAGAATAGTGCCTGGCATTATAATAGATGCTTAATAAATGCTTGTTCCCTCTCTCCTTCTCCCCTGCCCTTTCCTGAAATGTACTCTCTAGTAAGGAATATAGTACTTCAGATGTACTCTAGCTGGGGCAGAGTATAGTTCTACTATCGCCTCCTGAATTCTAGACACTACATCTCTCCAGTGAAACCTGAGTTTACATTAGCCTTCTTGTCTTCCATGTTACACTGTTGATTGATGTAGAGTATACATTCCACTAAACCCTTAGATCTTTTTTTTTCAGATGTACTGCTGTCTAGTTTTGCCTTCTCTTTCTTATGTTAGCAAAGCTCTCTTATATTCAAGTGTGAAACTTTACATTTATCCCTATTAAATTCCATCTTATAGAAGTTGTTTATAGAAATCCTTTAGTCTTCTGACTCTGTCATCCAGCAAATTTGTTACTTCTTAATTTTGGCTCATCTGCAAATTTGGTCAGCCTGTGTCCTTTATCTATTGTTGATAGAAGTATCAAATAACATAAGACCAAGTATAGAGCCATGAGACACTCCATGATAGACCTCCTTCTAACTTCATGTCAGACTATGAATGACTATTCTGTGGGTCTGGCCATTCTACCAGTTCTGAATCTACCTAATTTTACTGTCATCTAACTCATATTTTCCATAAGAATAGCATTAAAGACTTTGTCAAAGGCTTTGCTAAATTTATATCAATAGCATTTCCCTGATTTTCTGTTCTAGTAATTGTCAAAAATGGAAATAAGGTTAGTCTGCCATCATATTGATTATTTGCGTTCTTTTTTGTGTTAAGTATATGTTGATTACTTTTTTTTTAAGTACGTCTTTTTTATATTCACTAATAATTCTTTTACTAATGTATTCTGGAACTGCCATAATTTAGGATCAGAAGTGACATTATGGGAAGTACAATGAGAAGACCACTAGACTTGGAGTCAGGATCTGGGTTTGAACCCCAGCTCTGCTTCTTACTTAATACCTTGGGCAAGTCACTTAAACTCTGAACTTCAATTTTACATATCTGTAAAATGAGAGAGTTGGCACTAGATGACCCCTAAAGTACAATTCAGCTTTGATCTTAAGCACCCTGGGCTATGAGTTGTCAACTTCCTCTTATTTGAAGATCAGGAATTTGCCTTTCACATTCTCCGTTATTTTTCAGAGATCACTGACAAAGCCTCAGGAATCATATCAGCTAGTTCTTTCTGAAACACAGAGTGGGTTGCTCTGCTTTTGTCCTTAATTCTCAAAGATGACCATGATATCAGGAAGATGATGCTATGACTTGCAAGTGAATTTGGATATAAATGAGGGAGGGTTGTGCAAAGTCACCAGCCTCACATTCTCCTCCAGAGCCATCTGGGTCCAGTGGCCACATATAGATCAGGACATGTAGAGATGCCCCAGGATACAGTGGGGAACCTTGGCCTTTCCAACTAAGGTCTTTAACAGGTCTCAGTTTGACTGAGGCAAAGCCTATTCAATGATTAAGGCTTAAGAAGAAATGAAGCAAAGAATAGCCTCAGGGTGGGTGACACATGAATGGACTACACTAGCATTTCTCTACTAGAGGTGGTGTGGCTTGCAGGGTGTGATATCTGCACAAGCTACTGGAAATGATCTCAGAGCTTGAATTACACATGTTGCTATACCAGTTGGATGCAAACTACATATGCAGATGCACTGCCCATTCAATTACCTGCTTATATGGGGCAGTGGATAAAGTGTTGGAATTCGAGCTAGAACGACTAGCTTTATAACCAGAGGTGAATCACTTTATTCTCAGCCTCAGTTTCCACATCTGAAAAATGGGGATTCTTTGGTTCTGGTTCTTCTTTCACAATATGACTAATGTGCATATGTTTAATGTGATTGTACATGTGTAGCCTATATCAAATTGCATGCCATCTTAGGGAGGGTGGAGGGGAGGTAGGGGGAAAAATGTACAACTCAAAATCTCATAAAAATGAATGTTGAAAACTAAAAAATAATTAATTAATTAAAATTTTAAAAAGAAAAATGGGGATAATAATAGCACCTATCTCACAGAGTTGTTGTAAGGATCAAATGAAATATCATATAAAAATTTTATATAAAACCTAGCTGTTACTATTATTATTGTTATTACTTTGTGCCAAGCACTGTGCTAGGTGGGTTGGGATACCTACATAAAAATGAAAGACTCCTGTCCCTTAAGGAGTTTATATTCCACTAGATGGCTGGGGTGGTGGAGGGGAGAGAGAGGAGAGAGAGAGAAAGTGCCTAAAGACCAATAAATTAAAAATGTAGACAAAAAAATGCGCTTTATTTTTGGGCAGGGAAGCACCAATGATTGGAGAGAATCAAGGAAAGATATCTTTTAGGAGTTGCCCCTTCAGCTGAGATTTAAAGGGATGGAGGAATGATAAGAATATTCCTTGACTCTATATACTCCCTATATTTTCATGGTACATTTAAATTTTAGGGGCATTAATTATTTCCTAAAACATTATAATTTATCATAGTTGATCTAGTCCCAACCAGTTTGGGTTTCAAGCCTTGCTTCCACTGTTAGCTTGGCTCCAAAGAGTTCACTTTCAGCTCACCCCGAAATGATTCACTAAATCAATCTTAATTTTTTTGTGTCTGTCATGGACTCTTGGCAGACTGGTAAAGCCTATTGACATTTCTCAGGATAATGTTTATAAATGCATAAAATACATAGGATCACCAAGGGAACCAATTATGTTGAAATATAGTTATGAGAATATATGTATTTTAAGTATATGGGCCTCAGGTTAAAAACTCTTGATTTAGATGAGAAATTTTTAAAAGTGAAATGTAATAGCATTAAAATCTAAAGTGTTTGAGCACAGCCACTTCTAGTCATAGAGTCCTAATTAATCTCTAATCCCCAATTCTCCTGGACTATTCCCATTATGTTCCATTTGGAGAGATGTTTTCAAAGGTCTTTTTGTATCTGAGTGCTTCTGAGTCTCTCTGAGATCATAGTGAGGGAGTGAGCCAGCTCACCATGACTCGACTCACCTTGTCTTGAACATTGGTGGTAGTGATCATCAATTCTAACTTCTGGCCACCTTGCCAAGCAAAGAGTGACATTTCAATATTTTGGTAAGCTGCCCTTGGGGAAAATTTAAGTGTCCTTCTCCATGTCTCTTCCTAATGAGAAGCAGATGCACCCTGTGGGGATGGAGGAGAAAGGGAAAGATGGGGGGGGGGGGAGAGAGAGAGAGAGAGAGAGAGAGAGAGAGAGAGAGAGAGAGAGAGAGAGAGAGAGAGAGAGAGAGAGAGAGAGAGAATGAGAGAGAGTCTAGTCTAGTACTTTAAAAAAATCCTTCCAGAATATGACTTCTGTTCATGCCTTTTATGGAAGGCCTCTAGCTTTTCCAGTTCTGCATTTCCATATTTCTTTTTCACCTGAGATCCAGAGAATGTAGGAGGAAGACAGGTAAGTGCTGAGCAGCTGGATGGTGCTTCAGCAGGGATTTCTTTCCTCTGTGAAAAGTTTTTTATTCCCTGAAAAATTGCAAGAAATACACATGAATATCTGCAGCAGCACATCATAAACATCATGATAAGTACAGATTTTAATATATACATCTGAGGCACTTATCCCAACATCAGAAGGTGGTATTCCATGGTATCAATTATTTAACATCTATATTAATACTACATCCGCTAAGGTAGTACAATATAAAGTATCACTTTACAAAGCTACTTGCACTGACTAAATAACTAATTCATATACAGAATATATCGCATATGCATGTTGCAGTGCTGGAATGCTGTTAATGCAATAGCAAATGACATAAAACAGCAGAAGATATTGCATAGCTAACATAAATTATATACAACACTTACTATTATATATAGTTACATTCAAAGACTATGTAGTTATATGAGTTATACTCACATGCATTAGTGATGACATTTGGTGATGAGTAAGCAATTCTGAACTTAGTTTGTTCACTGGTTGGATGGTTTTAGTGCTTCTGTGATTTGCTAACTTTTGCATATATTCTTGAGCTAATTGATAGTGGCTAACTAGAAATAATTAAATTCAAGATACATGTATATATAATATATTAGATATCAGATAGATAGTATACATTTATATCCTTTTAAAAATATATGAACATCCACATACTAGAATATATATGTACATATACATATATGCATATATATTACAATATATACATCTATCTCCTAGAATAATTAAATTCAACTATATGAAAGAAAAAGGCCAAAAATCTAAAAGAAAAAGTGGAAAGGAAGGGGCCTAGTAGTAATATCTCAAACCGGCCGCAAAACAGCAATCATAGGAGGCAACTACATGCCACAGTGTTTAGAGTATTTGAAGTGGGATTCACGTCAAAACCGCAGACGTGAATTATACATGTTACCCTGGACAAGTCACTGGAGACCTCTGCCTCAGATAAAGAAGGGGTGGGAATAAACATTTCTATATAACACCTACTAGATAATCAAGCACTGTGCTAAGTGCTTTACAGAGGTCTCATTTGAATGTCACAATTACCTGGCAAGGTAGGTGTGTTAAAATTATATCTTGTTCTGGTCCCCTTAATCACTCCCTTTACTGTCTCCCCCACAGCCCTGCCCCACCATCTTCTTCTTCTGATTAGTATAATAAGTTTATAAGTAGCCAGTATAAAGGGGCAATAATAGGAAATAAGATTGCAAAGAGGAACCTGGAAGTCATGTATGATCCATTCCAAATATCAGCTTACGAACTGTATCATACATTAACCAAAATTCACATCCTGGTTATATATGCTGAATCAGCAGAAGCCATCCAGGCACTGCTGTTGGGGTTCTGGTTCTGTGATCTGTAAATTCCAGACAAATTTCAGAACTCCAGAGTTCTAGACCAGCAGAACATCAGAAAGGTGCCGATAACTTCAAGATAACGACTTCAAAGTTTTACCAATATATTGAGATGATTTGGATATATTAGTGAACTAACTTCAAGGTGGAAGAGATAAGAATTAGTCTATTCCTCCCCAAAACCCTATAAAATTGAGACCTCACACTCCTGTCCCCTTGAGCACTCTTACCTTTCCATCAGGTCCATACTGCCTAGTGCTCCCAGCTCTAATCCATGGTTATGGGAGTGATACTTTCCGCCTTTTCCCTTCCTATTCTCTTCCCCACATTACTTGTCTCCATCATGCCATCCCCTCCATCTGACATCTGTGTCTGTATCCCTTTTGCCACTTGTCTTTATAACCTCTGGGCCTAAAGTGTGATTGCCACCCTGTTTCCTGCTGCCAATTGTGGACTTTCCCGGTTAGTACCCAAAGAGTCAAAGAACCAAGTATTCCTGCTCCCATTTCATAATTTCATAAATTATCAATCCAGTAAGTGCTATTATTCCCGTTTAAAAGTTTAGGAAACTGAGGCAAAATGATGTTAAGTGATTTGCCCAGGGTCACACAGTAAGTATCTGAGGCCAGATTTGAACAAAGGTCTTCCTGACTCTATTCATTGCACCATTTAGCCGCCTCCGTTTCCCCATCCATAAAATGTTAATAATAGCATCTAACTCAGGGTTATATCAAATGTGATAACATGTAAAGCACTTTACAAACTTTGAAACACAATATAAATGCTAGCTTTTTTTTTTTTGCTTTTTGGTGAGCCAGTCAGGGTTAAGTGACTTGCCCAGTGTTACACAGCCAGTAAGTGTCAAGTGTCTGAGGTCACATTTGAATTCAGGTCCTCCTGACTCCAAGGCTGGAGCTCTTTCCACTGTGCCACACAGCTGCCCAAATGCTAGCTCTTTTTAGTAATCATCAAAACTGTTTAATAATGGTTTAAAAAATAGAAAAAATTGATCATTGGAACAAAATAGGTACACAACATTCAGGAGGAAACAAATGCTGTCACATAAGTGTTTGATAAGCCCCCAAATCCCAGATGCTATGGTAAGGGGTAAGGACTCATTATTCCTCAAGAACTCCTGGGAAAAATGGAAAGCAGTCTAGAAGAAGTTATATAGAGACCAACATTTCACACCATATATCAAGTAACTTAACTTTTTCTATTTGGTCAAGGGGAGGGTACCCTGTAGGAAATGAAGCTCGTCACCAAGTCAATTCCTTGCCTCATGGTTCAGTAACCTCTCAAAGTCTTTTGTTGACCATTTGTTCTTGCTACCAACCATTCAAGAATATACAGAACAAAGCAGTTTGACTCAATGAAACAAAATTAATATCTGCCAGTGGCACATTCTCTGATTGAAGTAACCAGACCCTCGCCTGCATTGCCAGTTGACTCTGGCCTAGCTCCCTTTCCATCACAGACTTCATGCCTTCTAGAAATATACCATGGCTTTGTTCCCACAAGGCCTATAGGATGGAGCATCTACCTCCATGTTAGTTTATCCTGACTGATATTATATGTTGGACTGATATTTGTTGAGTGCAATTTCTCATCTGTGACAAGTGGTATCTAATTCAGTGCAGGTAAAAATATAGGTCAATGGATTTTTGTTTATCCTATACTCTTTGGACTTCTTGGTGACATTTCATTTCAAAGCCAAGAACTCCAGTTTGTGGGATAAGAAGTCTCATTGTCAGTATGTCCTCTATTGGCAAATGCAAATAGTTTTCTGGTAACCATTGCTCTTTTGATGCAGAATTGCTCCCAAGTCATTTAGTCTATCATAAGTAGACAAAGTACTTTTTTTTGACACTACATAGACACTGGTGTGTGTATGTGTGAGACAATGGCCAGATCTTTAAAAGTTTGTTTGTATTTCTCATGCTAATGATCTCAGAATGGTTTCTGGGGCCTCAGGCCAAACTGACCTTTCTTATTCTTCTGTTTCTGGTGTTCCTCAGTCATATATGAGATTATTTAGGACTTTAGCAATGACAACATAATTATCCACAAATTTTCAATAATACCTGCCAAATCCTAGAAATGTTTTTAAGGTTTGAAGGTTCTTTGGGCATGACCAGCTGAGGAACGCTTCTGTGTTCTCTGCATTAGTGATGACTCTTGGACAATAATATTATGTAACTCCTGAACTTCATAGAGTCTTTTCAAATCTGGAACTTGACTGACAGCTCCAAACAACGTTCTCCCAGCTGATTTAACACAAAATCATATCAAAAGCAATGAGATCATTCACTTCAATGAAATGTCCCTTTGATTCATGCCTCTAGTCACCTTCTGTATTTGGCTACTGGACCTAGATGGCTTCAGAGGAAAAAGTGAGGCTGATGACTTTGCATGTCATGACATCACCTCCCTGATGTCATGATCCTCTTCTAGAAAAAAGGACAAAAAACAACAACAGCAAGTACTTCTAACATGTTGGGGGGGGCATATGCTCAGACTTGTAAAGTCCACCTGGACAGATGAAAGTGTCTCTTCTTTGTCTTCCTCTGCCATAAAGATCTGATGCCATTCTACTGCGTACACCTCCACCCTAACTGCTCCTTCTTAGTCTCCTTTGCTCACTCATTATCCACATCACCCATCCGAACTGTGGTTGTTCCTCAAGGTTCTGTATCGAGTCCTTTTCTTTCTATACTTCTCTTGATAACCTCATTAGTTCCCAGGAGTTTAATTATCACCTTTGTGCAAATCCAGTCTCAATCACTCCCCTGAGCTTCAGTCCTGTATCACCAATTGCCTAGTAGATATTTCAACTATCCAATTATCCTGGGTGTCCTGGAGGCATCTTAAACTCAATATGTCTAAACTCATTATCTTTCTTCTTAAATCCTCCCCTTCTTCAAACTTTCCTGTTTCTGAAGAAGGCATCACCATCTGTTCACTGTCTCAGGTTTCTAATCCCATTTTCTTACCTCACATATCCAGGTAGGTACCAAATCTTGCTTATTCCTTTACAACATCTGACCCCTGCTCTCCACACAGCTACCACCTTAGTTCAGGCCCTCATCCTTTCTTGCCTAAATTATTGCAATAGCCTCCTGATGGGTCTCCCTTCCTCAAGCCTCTCAATAATCTATTCTATACTCTGCTGCCAAAATAGTTTTCCTTAAGCACAAAAGATATGACTATGTGACTTTCCTACTCAGATAACTCCAGTAGCTTCCTATTGACTCTAGAATAAATATAAAACTCCTCTATTTAGCTTTCAAAGTCCTACACAGCCTGGTTTCAACATACCTTTCCAGTCTCACTGGACATTACTCCCACTTTCACAGCTTTTGATCTTCCAACCAAACAGATCTTCTTTTTTGTTCCCTCACTCAGGAGACTCTATCACTCACATATATATAATCTTTGTACTGGACACTTCCACCCCTGCAACATACTCCTTCCTTACCTTCACCTCACATAGTCTGTCTCTTCCTTGAACATGCAGGAGGAAATGCATCAGCAGGAGGGGATGCATTTCAGTATCTTAGGATGATGCCCTTGTGGGTCTAGTCATGAACCCATAAAGGTGTTCTCTTTTAATCTCCCTGCTTATCTTAGGTGTCAACTTTATTAGCTATTTTTCCAGTCCCTTTGG